TTTGGGATTGGGATTTGGGACAATTTTACTATATTTGGGATTTGAGTGGGATTTTGGAAGTTTGTAGTTTGGGTGGCATGTATATGTATGTTAATTAATTGTGATGCATCTGGTGCAGTAAATCAGTATCACGTAGGGTTAGGTTTAGCATTTAATTAGTGCATGTATATATTGTTAGTAAATTGTCACCTGCGTGATGATATAACCAATATTAACCGTTTTTTAAAATTTTGAACCTGAATAAAATTTCAATTAAAAAAAAATTAAAAAAACGCTCTTTTTGTTTAAAATATAGAGTCTCCTGAGCAATTGAGTAAAATTTCTAAATAAGTTATTATGTAAAATATTGAGGAGATACAGTTTGAAAATCAACATCATCTTATAAAAATACTAAAAAATTTTCAAATTTCAAACCTCAATAATTTACATATTAATTTCTTTAAAAATTTTATTCAATTGCTTAGCAGACCCTATATTTTAGGGGAAAGAGCGCTTTTTTAAAAAAACATATTAAAATTGTAAGGAATTTGATAAAATTTGTCGAAATTTAGGTTTTTTAATATAAAACATCATCTTCGTTATACAAAAAAAATTTACTAGTAATTTTTACTATGAGACTACGTAGATTTACATAGTGCATTGAACACCCCAACAGTACGTACAGTATGTTACGCCCCGATTTGGGAGTATAAACCACTCCATGCCAGTGTGGTTTGTATGCTACACCACTATAGTTGTTAAACGAAACCTCGAGGCTTCACGCTGACGAAACGCGAAATCTAGTTTTGTCTTTTGTCAATTAAAATCTTAAACGACGAAACGACGAAACTGACGAAAGGTGATGGAACTGTAAAGGGTACAAAATACAGAAATGTATAAAAATTGCAAAAAATTTTATATATAATAGGCGCTTAAATTGTTTAAAGGGAGTTAGAAATGAGTATTTTATATACTAGTACACTACATATCAGTTCTAGTGAGAAATCGTTTGGTGCTTGCTTTGTGAGCTTACAAATTTAAGTACCATGGCTTTTTGACAAGGTTATTCGACTGGTCTATAACAACCCTAACGTTGTCCAGAAAAAATGAACTGTTTATTTTTGCTAACATACATGTAATTTCGGACACTGATCTCTGAATGAATTATGAATAAAAATAACGATTGTTCTCTTGTGTTTTTTTTTTTTTTTTTTTTTAGCGGGAGCACTGAGGTTTGGTTTTTTTGAGCGTAAGGTTTCGTCATTTTAAGTTTAAGGTTTAGTCTTTCGTCAGAAGAATTTGGGGTTTCGACTTTCGTCAGAGGTCGTCATCATGCGAAAAAGGTTTCGTCTAACAACTATATATACTACTCCAGATTCAAATAGATTGGATTATACTCCAGAGCTACTACTAGGACTACTCCAGATTAAAAATATAAATAATTTTATCAATTGTTGTATATTAAAAATAAAGAATTTTATTAAGACATTTCAACATTATAGTAAATAAAGTTGTTCTAGATACCAAATTCTAAACTATAATTAGCAAGACGTTTTAAAATATACTAAAAAATTAATCCGGAATAACATATTCCGGGTGAAATTATAGAATTTAAAATTGGAGTAATAGCTTTGGTGTGGGTTGGTTTTGATAGTTACCGCACCACTCTGGATCACTCCGTTAACAGCCCTAGTCCCGAGCTCATGCAGAATGAGTATTTTATTAAGGGATTCAGGATTAATGATAGTTGAACTTTAAGGAAAGTATAGTTATTATATTTATCGGTTATTCCTTTAACCCGTAAACTCTAACTTCTTTCTTAGTTCTGTTATTTCATTTTCTTCTATCACTTTCCTTCCACTTTATTAAATGTTTGATTAAATTTATCCAATTTACAATATTCTCGTCCTTTACTCTATTTAGATACATTCCATTATTGATCACGAAAATGAAGTATAATTTATGCTAAGTTATTATAATAAATGAAGTCATGGAATATCCCACCACACAATTATGACACAACTTTTATATATTGACTAAAATAACCGTAACAACGTACAAATACGTTTATTCATTGTAAATTATGTCACTTTATGTATTTGTGGTACACCGTATGTCTTATCGAACTAACAATAAGTAAAGTAAAGGGTAATTTCTACCAATGCTAACACTAAATCAGGCTATCTCTAACTCAAATCGAGTGCATCGCTAGAGTAATGATGTCAGAAAAAAGATCTAGCTGACAGTAATTATAATAAGATGACATGAATAAGTGTAAAGTAATCTTAGTCAATATAATTACTTGTTAACGACGTAAAACGAAGATGCACGGATCCAAAGTGCCATCCTTAAAAAAAAAAAATTTTTATACAAAAAAAATCTATGCTCATAATTATAAATTTTAATATATTGAACCGCAATTTTACTCCATGACTTTAATTATAACATTAAATGGTTGTCAATTCCTCTCTATTTTAATTACAGTCAATCCTTTATAAGTGTACTTTTCTCTATAAGTGTATGTCAATTGATAAAGCTTTTAATGTCCGTAATAATATTGTATTAGAAGATTCATTATAATGCGTTATAGCTAGACTCAGTAAGTACACACCTATAAGTTCTCTTTTCACAACAACGTACATCTATAAATGGTTGATAATATTACCATTAATAATAATAAATATTGTTTTGAGAAATATTTACGAAAAATAATCACAGCCCACTCAATGAGCCACGCATACTTAAATACGTGAGAACAAGTAAGCCACGCGCACAATTCTAAACCTTTTTGAAAACAAACTTTTCGTGTGATCTTATGCTTACTAAACTATTAGAACCTTCATAAATGGATGGAAGACAATCACGCAATGCAAGCCGAACTAAGCGTCCTTTGTCTGATACCTTCAAAGAAGAAGACAGAATAATAGCGGACCTCGTTACCCCAGAGAATGGTCAAAATGACGATATAAAAAAAAATTGCAAAAAATACCTCTTTCTCGGATGTGGATTGTTTTTAATAATAATAATCATTTGTTGCATGATTTTTTATTTTTTCGCCGAGATGGATGTTGTTACAGAATATGATACTTCTAAGATTCCTTTCCAATATCAATTGAGTCTAAGATATTTATATGCAATAAATAATCGATATGATTATATTATTTCAAGTTTTCCTGATCACGAATTTACTCCAAATATCAACCTTACTACTCGAGATGTTTATCAAAATTCAGAAAATAATTCTACAACAAAATCAAAATCAACTAAGCAAACTGAACTTGGACTCTTAATTTCACGACCATTGAGAATCCTAACGCCCGGTTGTTATGAAGTACAGGAAGATAGATACTTACCAAATAATACAATGTATCGAGTGATATCTGCCACTGCACGTTACACGAATTGGTTTTATACTGTTTGGGACCCACCAATCACTATTCAATTCGTTATTAATCCAAATGAAACAGTATATAATGAAACGAGCTATCAAAACTTGATAACCTGCAAATATCAATTCACATGGACATCTAGCTTAAACGGGTACGTCAATCGGCAGTGTATAAATGAGACAGAATTTCTGAAGATATCTTATGTTAATGGATCAAGCCCATTTGGATTCACATTTTATAGTTTGGATGAACTGAACGTTTATGCATATACTACGGCACCGAATTTGGTTGATCAAGATTTTTTCTTTAAAAGGTATTTATAATTATATGTCGATATCTTTAAATTTGATTTAATGATTTAAATTTATGAATATAATGATTTGTTTATTACCATTAAATAAGGAATGTATATATAAACCAAAACGCACCATTTCCAACACTCATACCCGCTTTTTATACTGCTTATCATGATTATCTTTCATCCTAATGCTACGTATTATTTTTTTGTAAAATCGTCGTTTTTGTAGTTATAGTCTTATTTCTGAATCGTCGACTAGTCTTTCTGTTTGAAGTTTCGATTGAAATTTTGATTATCACATATAATCACTTCAATTATATATTATTCACTTAAATAAAGAAATGACGTTCACAGGAGGTTGGAGGTTTGGAGACATCTTATATAATTTCACTAAAATTTATCAAGAACACCTAAAGTCTAAATTTATTTATTCAGCAATGAAGTATATAATTAAGAAGATTAAGCTTCGAAGCTTTGATTTTTCGCTTATTGCTTGATGCATACATTATATATTGAATATTAACTTCAATATTAACATTTAGACATTCTTTTAATTTCTTTTTCTTCTATTACCTTTCAAAATTTAGTTTAATAAACCCACAAAATTAGTTTAACTAGAAAAAAAAATTTAGATCTAAAATTGCATTATCTTCTTTAATGAAATTTTATTTGTTTAAATTTTAAAAATTTTCCGGTTATAAGTAAATTTTAACAATATTAATGTATTTATATAAACGCCAAAATAAATTTTACCAATTTGTTTTTATTATTCTAACATACCGATTTATAACTATTTATTTTTTATCTAAAATACTATGCATTATGTAGTAACTAATTAATAATACTGTGTATTATTAACCAGAATAATAAACTTATAAATAAATTAATTAATTTGACTTATAAGTTTAAATGACTTTTAAATTACTCAAAAATCATTTCAAATTGCAAATAACCCAATCATTCGAACATTGATTTATACTGTATAACAATAATTACCGTTGCTAATTTAATTTATTTTACAATAATTTGTTGCATTATTTGATTTAACATCTTGTTAACAATATTCATGTTTACATAACGATAATCTGGTTTTCAATAGAGTTTGGAACCGGTTTTATTTCTCAGATGTTAAAACCGGTTTAATCGGGTTTAACATACGGGTTCCAAGCTCTAGTTTTCAATAACATCAACCTGCTTCTAAACATCAAGCTCTGAAATAGTCTTCACGAATTTTATAATTTTATTTAATGTTTTAGAAATGCCAATGATTGATCAGTCGGTTATTACTTATCAATAATCGGTCACTTATATAGATGCAGAAAGATTTATCATAGCTATTGTAAAGACTTTCGACATGTCTTTACAATAGAACGTAAACCTTTCTGTAAGACAGTTAGAATAAATTCATCATTATATATTTTATTGTGGATTTATAAAATTAAATATACTAAACTCCATATTACAATCCATAAACTTAAAACCACATTCACTAATCCGTCATTTTTTCGATTAAACAAACTATAATCACCTAATCTGCTTGCATCACTTTCATCAGAAGAAACCTGAAAACCTAAAGGTACAAGGCCAGTAACAGTCTGAAGAACAACGATAGTACTCGGTGGATAGTAAGTTGTATAGCTTGTTAATTCGCCATTACTATCTCTAGTGGTTATAGTCGTCGTATAACCAGGAATAACTTGTACAATTGTTTCTATGTAGTAAGTGGTTGTAAATGCAGTTATTGTATTACTATCGACGTCGGGAGGTACAATAGTTTGAATATGTTTTTCATGATTTTCTGAAGTTATAATCACTCCACCTCCTTTTTGAGTGGAACTTTTAAAAGAGAGATAAATAAAAGGTATAAATTAGATTTTGTAATTCTTTTTCTTAAAATTTGATCTTGGTTATCATAAATGAAGAGAAAATTTTAAAACATACTCAATTTGACAGTCTTGCTTATTTGAACAAACATCAATACTAGTTGTGACATGTTGATAAGTGTTCAAATCAATTTTAGCCGGATTGGAAGGTCGAGGAGCTGGGGGGACATATGTTGATTTTGTAGAAATTTTTGAATTTGATTGTTGCGGTTGTTGCGATTGCGGTGTAGCCGATTGTTGTATAGCCGATCGTTGTGTAGCCGATTGTTGTACTGGAGTTGGTTGTTGTACTGGAGTTGGTTGTTGTGCTGGAGTTGGTTGTTGTGCTGGAGTTGGTTGTTGTGCTGAAGTTGGTTGTTGTGCTGAAGTTGGTTGTTGTGCTGGAGTTGGTTGTTGTACTGGAGTTGGTTGTTGTACTGGAGTTGGTTGTTGTGCTGAAGTTGGTTGTTGTACTGGAGTTGGTTGTTGTGCTGGAGTTGGTTGTTGTACTGGAGTTGGTTGTTGTACTGGAGTTGGTTGTTGTACTGGAGTTGGTTGTTGTACTGGAGTTGGCTGCTGTTGTTGTTGTTGTTGAGTTGGTTGTTGTGCTGGCTGCTGTTGTTGTGGAGTTGGTTGTTGTGCTGGCTGCTGTTGTTGTGGAGTTGCTTGTTGTGCTGGTTGTTGTTGTCGAGTTGGTTGCGCTTGTTGTTGTGGAGTTGGTTGTTGTGCTGGTTGTTGTTGTCGAGTTGGTTGCGCTGGTTGTTGTGGAGCTGGTTGTCGTGTTTGTGTAACTAGATTAATTGTTAAAAATTAACAGTTAATGCTCCCGTACGTGCGTATTTACGTACGTACGCAGCTAATATTATTTAGAAATTGACGATATTAGTAGAGATGCGACTCGGATAATCGAATATCAGAATATCCGTTTAGTCTATAGAGAACGGATAACGGATCGCATTTCTAATTAGTAGACGCATGTGTGTTAAGTCGTACCCGCAAGTCTTATGAAAATTGCCGAAAGAAGTAACAGCATTATAATATAAGCCCGACTGTAGAATAATTTTTGTGCCATTTTTATTTATATTTTTTTTCTAATTTATATATACAGCATATACATTTATATTTGCTTAGATGGAATTTATATAACAAAAATCGATGTTTTAAGAAGAAAATTGCAAGTGAACTCTGGGAGTAACTTTTTTTGTGTGAATAATAACTGTTTTCATGCGAAAGAATTTTTTTTTGCATTCGCCAAATAAATCTCGAATATATATTTAATCTCAATTATAAATCATCGTCCAAAAAAGTTTGCTTGAAATAGACGGAGTTTCTGCGGTTGTGATCACATAGCTTGAAATAGCCAAAAGTTACCCTTTTTAACAATATTTATTTAGTCAATGAAAAAAAAAGAAATTTCTAATCTCGTTCTATTTTTAGCTAATAATACAGTACTGATAATCTTTGTACATATGTGATGTTAAATAAACTTTTAAGGAAAATGAGGAAAAATCGCCGGTCAAACTACGGCCTAGAATTCAATAAAGCCGGGTCAGTATTATTTCACTGACAATCACCGACACTCATTTCACCGACAAGCTTATTTTACAGACGATTAATTTACTGACAAGTTCATTTTGTAGACAGTATATTTACCGACAGCTCATTTCAAAGCGATAGATAAGTTTATAATATTAACTCTAATTCTAAGCCTAACCCTAACGATAATGACTAGAATTATTTGTCTGTGAAATGAGCTGTCTGTCAATTATACTAATATTATGCTGCTTATGAAATGAACTTGTCTGTGAATTAATCGTCTGTAAAATAAGCTTGTCGGTAAAATGAGTATGGTGTCTTTGAAGTGATTGTTGGTGAGTTGACCAGAACCGATAATTCCTATGAATAAAGAATATCATTTTATTGTGAATTACAATCTTCTTGGTTGAAAATTCCCTATACTAGTTTTGGATGGCCTCGAATCATATTTGATAGTTTTCATGGCTCTAAACCTTCCTTCCTGTGTTCAATGGTTCAAAAACTGTGCCTAATAGTTTAAGGTCATCAGGCTTAAATAAAATTAATAGCTATTATGAATATTAATAAAGAAATAGGGAAATAAATTCGAAAACAGCGTTTATCCGATTAATTACTTTTATTTTTTGGCTGGTTTTAGAGTGTCCAGGAGCATAATTCAAATCACTGGCAGCAGAATTAACATAATTTATATTTGCTAGCACAAAATTTTATATTTTCAAATTGAGACCCAAAATTTCAGCATCAGCCGTGATATTAAAAATTTTTTTAAAAAATGTTATTAGCACAAAAAGCATAATATAATGCAATTAGCAGGTATAATTTGGCATCTTTTAGCAGCATAACCCTAGCTGGCTTACAGTACGTAGTAATTATATAATATAAGATTTGCAAATTAACTTCATTGTTAAATAATTCGGGCACAAATATTTACAAAATAAATTAAAACTTTTTTTTATAAAATTTAGCCAATAATAACCGCTAGATGTCAAAAGTAAAATTCAAAATTCATGCTCATAAATAAACTTTTCAGTTGAATATCTATTGGTAACTGTTTGCAATTAAAATCAGTAAAATGATAAGATGAACTGCGCATTTTCTGTTCAGTTATAACAAATATTATGCTTTATTCTACTCGTTTAAATATGAATCGATTTGGAATCAGCCAATCATGATTTAGGGAAATTTTTCGTTCACTATAAAGTTTATTATAAAATGAGTTCTTTAAAAACGGTCTTTTAGCTTATTCTGAACCTATCATTAAGATATATGGTATTATAGTTATGTATTTTAAAATATATTCATTTGTTGCCATTTAATTATAATTAGCAGTATATTCTCTGTTTGTAAAATCTTAACACAAATTGATGAATGAATAAAATCATTTCGATATTTTAACGATTCCTGAGGGTTCGAAGATAGAGTATGAATAATGTAGATTACTAAGTTATAACTCAACCGAAAAATCTAATTAGCGACATATATGATGATTAATCGATTTTTTCAAAGCCTAAACTTTAGTTTTCTCATAACCATATTGAGATTTGCCGCAAAAGTTTTTCACTTTATTGAAAGTTTCTTCCATATAGTAATGTAACAAATTCAACTTTATAGAAGCTAACAAATTTTTTCATGAGTTTAAGATAATATTAAAATATTAATATGATATTTTTATTATAAATTTAACATATAAAAATAATTATAAAATAATTATAAGATTATTGTTTAACATTATTATCTCGCAAACCGTCCAGCGGTCAAATATACCTACTAGAATACTATTTCTATGATCACTTAAAATTTCAAAATTTTATATATTTCTTAAGAGAAATTTTTTTTCGGGTTTACTATTCTGCATCATAGGTGTTCAACACCATAGGCCCCTATTTCTCAAAAACGTACTAAGTAAACGGGATCGGGTATTCTAAGTAAAAATGCTCAGGACCCCAAAACCTCATGGGAACTGAAATTGGGACCTTATATCTAATAACATTATATTATATATAAAAAAAAAACCTTAAAATTTCACCTAACCCTAAAAATATATTAACACCAACAACACCATAGGTGCACAATATAGTATCTGTTTTTTTTTACTACTACCGTAAAATCTCAAAATAGCGGGCATGGGGTTATTTCGAATCTTGGCCCGAATTAAGCTTAATTCGGGCCGAAAATTGTAATTTCACCCTTGCGCGTTATTTCGAGATTTTATGGTAAGTCAAAAATTTATTTATAAACTATAAAAATTTTTAATTAAAATTATTTTTTAAACCAAATTCTATAATTTGTATTAAAATTATAATATGATTATGCTTAGAATTTTAAAGAGCTTGTTAATGAATAAAAATAAAACTTTGTTTTTTTTAAAAAAAAATAAAAAAGATTTTTGAAATTTTTATTAAATAGACAGCTTTATTTATTTTTTTATTTATAATTTAAAATAAATATTATCGCAAATCGCCGTATACAAGACCCGGATTCCACCAGTTTTAAAACCTATAATAGACTCCGCATTTATAATAGGCAATCTAGATATTCGAAAAACTCCATGTTTGATTAATATAGATCCCATGATTCGCATCCGGGTATACTACGTGGTAGGTCTATTATCATGGGTCTTTGTATACGGCGATTTATGGTACTATTTTATAATCCTTATTTTCAAATATTATTATATAAATTTTTTTTAAATATTTTAAATATTGACAAAAATAGATCAAATATAACAATTTTAATATTTTAGCAGCCGGTTTAAAGGATAAGAATGTTATAAGATTTTCATAAGATAATTATAAGGTAACGATAATTATTATTAATCTAAGACTATAATAAATCGATGAAAAAAAATTAGCTTATTTTTGTATAGAAAACATTAACTTTTCATACTATATCAATAAGTATTTGACCCTCTATCTACATTAGCTTAACTTATACTGTACTACCTCAGTAAATAGTCCGGATACGTCGTACGTACGTACGTACTACGTATTGCTAAAAATAAAAGTCATCGAGCGTAGCACCAAGTGGCAAAACAAATATTGCTAAAAATGGACAAATTAAAGGTTGGCTTAAGGATCATATGGTGTAAATACTCGGATTGAATTTGTCATCTTGACCCACTTTAATATTAGCTCTTGCATTTTAAGGTGTATTTATAAGTTAAATGAGAGTCGGGCTCTGAAAAACAGTCCAACAAAAGATTTAGCCATCCAAAATGTGTGTACGTACGTACGTACGTTACATAGAACATTGATTGTTAAACATTACACTATGGTCAACCCTCAATAAATCGGACTCTTGATGATTATATCCAAAGTGATCATCTCTTATATCAAGAGGAGGTATCTTTGATTATCTGAAGATATTCATCACATATGGATTTTTGCATCTTGCGGGACATAGTAATTACCATGTCACATAATTGTATAGGTCTCTAAATTATGTTATCAGAAGTTCGTCTCAACGAGTTACATTTAGAGAGGTCTGACTGTATATGATATTCGCTGAAGCCTCAAGTGATGGGGTCTCCTCAATTATTTAGAAAAACGATATTGTGACGTAACGCCAAAAAATAAAAATGCACGTCGTGCAAAACCATAAATGTATGTGTTCTCTTGGTATAGAAGATGGGTCCTTAGATAATTATCTACAAGTATTGTCTGAATTTGGTTACTATAAATTGTTATTTATTATTCTACCAATTGAAACATTTCTATAAAAACTTATCATATCGTAATTCTTTTATTTTCTTTATTATTATGGAATTACTACGGATTGTTTGATTTTATTCATTACGGCTAAATGAGCTGTCGGAAAATGACCGACGGCAGTGTTGATCACTGGACTGGACTGTCCAGCCCAGCTAACTATGTTAATTACAACTAGAATTTGATCAAAAGTTAGTAAATATCAAACTATATAAATCTATATCCAGTGAAATTTTGTTATTTTGATCATACCAGGAACGGAGTGGTATGGTATGTAATATCACAGAGTGCAGTATATACCAGGAACGGAGTACGAAGTACGTAGAGTATGGTTTAATGACGAGTTAAGTGTTTCTGCACAAATCCATGCTTTTGATTGAATATCCCTTTTTACATGCATCAAATGATTAGGTATACCCATATTTATACATTCGTGATTAAAATTGCACATTTGTGAGGCTTGCCGCCCCGAATATAACAGCAGTATCATATGGGACCGATTACTGATGGGAGTTGTATATTTCGTTCAAATAATTTTCACTATATAAGATCTAATATTTTGAATACCAGGAACGGAGTACAACAAAGTGTATAATTACCCTATAAGAAAAATGGTTCGTATCGGTACGGGTTGGTTTCGGATAGGCACGGGCCTTTGTGGCACGGGTCAAG